AGAGAGGAGAGGGTGTTCCTTCAGCCCCTAAGGAATGTATAACTTACTAAAACTTGAGAATGCACGTTGATCACATTTCTTGACCAAACTCATCTTTTTGTTCATACCAAGATATTTCTGGTATAAGAATGAGAGCAGTCAGTAAGGGGCACAGTTTAAGCTTTAGTATTTGTTTTTCTCTATGATTTGTTTCACATACAGATAGAACCTGTGGCTTCTTTGCTGAGAACCCACTTTTAAATCTTGTAACTATTCCCTTCATCTCTATTGGGAACACCATATCTCCATGTAGTTTAAATGAGCACACTGAGTTTACGGCCCTTAGAAAAGTCAGCTTCTAACAGCTGGTATTTCCTAACTTCAACCAAAACTGGCATTCAGTTATAGTAATGAAGCTTTTTTAATGTACAGGAATAGTAGCTGTAAGTATTCCAGTAAACAGTTTAAGATTGTTAGTTTTAATTAAATTGCAAAATATTTCTATCTACTCTATGAAAACATTATTATAAACAAAGCAGGTGTGAGGTGGGAAGAAGGACTTTTGCAGTAATGCTTGAATATACATGGCCTAAAGAGTGCTTAATTTGCTCATTAAGGCTTGTAAAGAATTTAATACCCTAAAACTATTAAAAATTACTAAAAAATAGTCTATTCATAATTGAGGTCAGATCATGTCAACTAGTGACCTCTTTGATAACAACCTAAATGTGTTGCAAAGTGATTTGGCAAAAATGTATATTACGTGGTTTATGAAGTGCTCCAACGACTTGCGTTGTCTTTTATATAACTACATCAAATACAAGAGTGGGGGCGGTGAGGGGGGGAGGAGGATTTCCCCTCATCTGTGTTTGAAAGACTACATATGTTTCAGTTTTGGACAGGATTAATAATAGTTTGTGGCTTATTTGTGGTTTTTTTGGTTTTGTGTTTTGTTTATTTTAAGGACTTCAAAATATATAGAAATCTGTTTCCTATTTTACAGTAGTGTGGATGCTTTGGGTTTTTTGGGTTGCGTTTCTTTTTGATTCCTTTCTCTTGGTCAAACTTTCTGGTTTAAGACTTGCATTTTGGAAAGCACAGTTGAGCAGTATTCCTTTGTCACTGCTTCCGATATACTTTCCTGACTATCACTTGCATCAAACTGCTGTCTGGAAATGAACTGTGGATCTTTATTCTTTGCATGCAATCACAATCCAGCTATGGCTGAGTGATGATTTTGTTGAAGTAGTGATGCAGAACACAATCGTTAACTCCCCAGGTCTCTACCCATTCTGCCAGTGGCTAAGGACTTTTTCCTTCACAGGTTTTTCCATAAAGCCAGGGGATGGACAGCATTTATGTGGAGAGTTTGATTGCTTCCTGACTGGAGGATAATCCTGCAAGAATGACTTCTATAAAGAAGGTAGATGAGGAACGCTGCAGTTGTTACGAACTGGTAGAAAATCAAGAAAGTAATGAACTAAGTAATGACAAAATCACCTCTGAATTTTGTTTGCATATGTATTGAGTGAAAGGCCTTGCTAGTAACATGTCAGGATGCATGAAAACATCAAAATATTGGATAGTACACTATATCAAGAGTGTTGAGGACTTTCATCTTCACATTTTTGGGGTTTATCCAACTCTCGCTTTAGCTTCTGGTGAGGACTGTCCTTTGAACACTGTAATAGATGATCTCAGGCCTGATCTAGCATGCCATTGCATAGTTTCTGTATTTTAAAACTACTGGATTATTTGGTTTAGGAATTATGAAAAAATAATGGAGGGGGGACAAACCCCCAGATCAATAATAAGACTAATATGTAATTGAGGTTTCTACAGTACTAAGACATAATTCTGTAATTGCGTTATTAGTTCTATTTCTTGCACTTCTGAGCAAGCAGAAAGCACTAAAGATGAATTTAAGATAAACTCTGTCCCTTTGAGGGGTTTGTGGACTAAAACCAGAGTATCTTTTCTACTGGGATACACAGAAAGTTAGGTCAGTGTTGAATAATGTATTACCAGAGTGCAATTGCTCAATGTAACTGCCCATATTCTCCCCCACAGTGTCCTGTTTTGCATATACCAATTCCCATCTTACAGTAACTTTACCTCCTTCTCTTCCCATTACAAAAGAGTAAAAAATGCTGAAAGAAATCAATACCTAATTTCCTTTACATTTGTATTAGAGAAATATATATTACTTATTTTCTACAGAAATATGTGTGTATATATATGCATGCATAAATATAGATATAAAAAAACCTTTTCTAGGTATCTGCTCTTTTACTGTATTGCTTGTTTGGTTAGTGTTTAACCTAACCTATAATCAGGATTGTTAATAACTGACATTAATTGTAATTACATTTATTCTAAGATATAACTTGACATTATTAACATTATTATTGCTTACACTTGTGTCTCTATGAAGCATGTAATAGGAAAAAATACAAATTCCCTTCCTACCATTTGAAGAGCTGTGGAGAACCAACTCTTCTCTGGCTTTTCCACATGAAAAGCTCCTTTAAAAAAGATAGGCAGTCTTTGTGATCATATTGAAATATGCTGTTAAATACCAAGTGCTGCTAGTACATTTTTAAGGGCTGATACAGCTTCCTAATCAGGAATTTACCACTATTTTGTACACTGAAATATTACACTCCAAGGAAATAGTTACTATTTAGTAACTGCATCTGCAGAAAAATTCAAATTTAGATGTCTTTTAAACAAAGATGGGATACAAAATTTTGCTTCTTCAGTGTCATTTGTTTTCTCACAGCTTTTAAACATTTTCATTTTGTGCATAAACCAGTTTTAAAGTACTCTGACAACTCTTATAGATATTAATGTACTGGAAATAGAAAATCAGTCACTGAAGCAAGAATGAGTATAGTTATACTCAAAAGTAACCTCTGGGTCCCTACAGCACACTTTGCGTTTTGCAAAGTAAGATGTATTTACAAATTATAAAATACTTACCTAGTGCCCATACTTGAATATTTTTAATTATTTTTTTAAGAAATAATATATAAAGGTTTAACATGGGAAAAACTGTCACAATTTTAGTTTCAAAGCAAAATGAAGAAAGAATTCAGTGCACTTACAAATACATCCAAGTGTACTGGCCTGCAGACAGTCAGGAAAAGCAAACTGCAAACATTACATCCCTGTGCAAACAATAGCTATTATTGACTCACATCTACCTAAATTTTCCCCATCTAAGCTCTTCAGAGTTAAAGAACAGGGGGTACAAAAAGTGATCTCACATGTTCAGTCCAGCTACTGCACTAGTAAATGTTATATACTCCTCTTGAAATAGGAGGAGGAAAACAGCTGCAGCTAGGTCACCAGATAGTTAAAGTGTTATAATGAAAATGAATTTGCGCCTAAATATTTTGTCACTGTGACTAAGATATATGTTTAGACAAAGGAAAATACCCTGAATTCCCTGAATCAATGCAGCATTTCATGTTTCTGTTAAAATTAACTTAATTTTAATGTGTTAAAATTAATTTCAAGATAGGACTCTTTAATTTTTGTTTGGCTGCATGTAAGACTTCCTTGTGTCCTTTTGACTTCCACCAGTGTCCATTATACCTGCAACAAAGTTGGCTTGGGTTTGATTTGATTAGGCATATCTTTCCTCATTACATTCTTCTTCAGGATTATGGAGATGAAAGGTGAATATACAATAAAATAATAGATGACTATGAAATATGAGAGATCCTTTGTGTGGCGACAGACAAAATATTACCTTTAAACTCTGAATATGCTGACAGAACTTTGTCTCTTGAAAAAACTTCTAGGGAGTTTGCTATGGGCAATTCAGTAGAATTAGCTGATAAAATGCAGCTTGTTCCCTAACTGGCTATCAAGACTTGTTTCCAGGAAGCTCCCTGGAGCTGAGGGCTTGCATGCATTCAGCCTGATGGGTAGCTGCGTCTTTCTTTCTATTCAGCTTTAGACTTTCTAAACTCCCTGACATCTCAGTCCTGCATTTCTAAGTTCCACCAAGAAATTGCTTGTTATTAGTCTGGTTGTGTCTATGGTCACTCACAACAAAAAATGTTACACTATCATAACTAACCAGCTAAAGTACATAAAAATTAGTTTCTATTTCCTCTTTTCTTACCTTGTTCTTTATTAATATTTTTGCAAATTAAAGGAGATGAAAATGAAGTTAAAGAAAATCAGAATTCTTCATCTTTTCTATGAAAGGGTTATGAAGACATGATGGGACTGCCGCTCCTTTTGTAGGATTTCTTAATGTTATTTTAAGTCAATTTTAAGTGCTGCAAATCAGTGCAACTCTTAACCTTTTAGTGACACCTAAACTTTCAGTTGTACCAGTCCAGAATCAGGCTTATTTTAGTAATCCTTATTGTATATAAAAAAATAAAATAATCCTGTTATTGACATTTTGTATCAATGTAAACATTCAACTCTTTAAAACAGAATTATATCAAACACACATTCTTTGATAATTGAACAAAATAAATTAACAACAACTTTTACTGCAGAATCAGTGTAAGATATCTTAATTGTTAGAACCCTGTGCAGTTTCTATCATTTTCATTTGTCCAGTTTGCTTCCAGGTGATGTCCAATATAAACACTTCCAATGTTTGAAAATAGAGAGCACCCGTGGACAGACAAATCCCTTGGAGTCCCTTCAACCCCACATGACCTTCAGTGATTTCTTTGAAACTTTGAGCTGTTCTTCAGTTGGACTCTAGGTCACTTCGAAAGTGCATTGCAGTAGGTTCAAAAAACTGGAAGAAAAGTTTAGAGAGAAGTTAAAACTGTGGGTTGTTGACAACAAATTAACCAACAAAATCACCTGATTTCTAACTGTCTCATCAGACTTAAAACTGAACTGCATTATAAGGGAGAATCCTCTTTGAATTGGATGTTCATTACTGGATCATCAAAGCTTAACTGTAAGTATGTATGGCAATGACTACTTTCTCCTGAAGTTTATTTTTTCAGTATTTAAACTGAAACCTGATGTAACAATATGTACTGCAAGCTTTGTGAGTATTAACATGCTGAAGCTGTATACTTCTCCAGTTCTTGGTTTTTTTATTCTGTTCTTGTTTATTCCCAGTTGACATCATCAGCATCTCATCTTCTCCTTCAACTTGTGTATCTCTATTTCTGCCACCATACTGCGTTCTCTACATCGAACATCCAGCACTCAGCACATTTAGTGATGTACCTTCCTCTGCTCCCAAACATAAAGGCTGGCATCTGCTTTGTTTTTCTGAAGTTTATCATTAAAACTTTAACATCGTATCTTTCTTAAGGTTGATTCACTCCATGATTGAGTGTTTGATAACATTAAAAATTTTAATATAAAGTTATATATAAAAATTGAGAAGTTACTTTAGAAAGATGTGTAAGAAGATGCGAGAACAGCATATGCATTGTGAATGATATGGTAAAGGTTGACTAAATACTTGTATTTTTCTCATTAAAAGGGCACTCTTTGCATTCTAAATCAAGAAAATATTAAAATAAATTAAGTATGCAATTCACCTGTCAAGGTCACAGTCAGAAATTAGTATTTAAAACCAAAAAATGCTGTATGATAAAATAAAAATCTAGAACAACTTTTTCTCATTTGCCAGATACATTTGTTGTCCTATGAAAAACTTCTCTACTTGACTAATCTAGACAAATATGTATTATTTATTATTGTATATAGCTTTTTGTGGATGGCAGATATTATTGTACTTTACAATGTGTTCCATAGAAACCTGCCTGTTCCATTTTGCATGCATAAATTGTGGGAATGTCACAGCTTCAAACCTTCCATTTAAATTAATTACGAACTGACCTTAGGTAGTGAGGGAGTAAGTCCTCTTAAAATGCTTTATTTTTTTCATATTATAAATGGCACAATGATATTGTAATAGTTAAGCCTTTGTCAGTATTACAGTTATAAAACCATGTGAGAGAAAGGGAGGCTTATCATACAGGTAATCAGCATTTTCTGTGGTCTAAAAACTGGCATCTGCTATTTCAACTGGGGATTGTTTCATATACGTATCTTCAAGTACCTCCTTTTTTTTGTTTTGGTTGTCCTTTGGTTGTATTAGGTTCTGACAACACGCTGTTGAGCGAAATGCAGGCAGACAACTATATTAACATCATTTCTGTTTTTAGCAATATAACTGTTGCTCTGCAATGCTACTGCTACTCCATGTGCAAACTAGCTCACATGAAATATCTCATGTATCAAGTCATATATCAATGACTGCTGCTGAATGTTTTCCCATTTCTTCACTGTGGAATAGAACCATTTATTTAAATATTAAGGCCCCATACACATATGAAAAGCATTCAGTTGAAGCACTTAATTTCAACGTTGGGTTTTTTTAATGCAAATAATGCTGCTATTTTGCTTTAAAATGTAACAAAAGATTAATTTTGTAATGAAAGTTTGCTAATACACTTCCTGGTTTGCTAAACTGGACTTGATTCAGTACATTTGGAAGTACAAATACAGAGTTCAGCCCAAGATACTCTTGTTATCTGCCTGGTCCTCGTTGCTCTGAAAAACAGGATCCAAATGTTTAAAGGCATACATTTTATTAGAAATGCCTCCTTCGTTTTATAGACTTCCAAATCCTAAAACATCTGTGTAATTAACACACCCTTAATTTATATGTACAGAAACAGAAAGAGGGATTAAGCTGGTTGTCTGAAAAATATATATAAATAATTAAATGGAAGGTGAAGAAAAAGTTACTGCAAGGAGCACTTTAAAAAGTACTCAAGCCTCAAGGTTCTTATAAATATTATCAGATACAATACACAAGAATGACTTCGTTTCTGTGCTATACAGCCCATTACTTAAGTCATAAGAAAACTGCTTTCTAGTGCACAGGAATACTACTAAACATCTTAGGAGCGAGCTGCTCATTTCATGCAACCGTGCCATTACAATAACAAGCCTGTTCATTCTAGCTGGTGCTCAGAATCCAGAACATGAAGTAAAGAATGATTCTTGCACTTCTTTCATAGTCAGAGTCTGGCCAGAAGATAATGAGCTGAAAATTACCTGCGATTCCAGTGCTAATGTCCTGCTTTTAAAAACAGATTGATGACATATTGCTTGATTTATTCTATATGCACCATCCAAAGACAGGTAGTTTTTCAGCTTAGGGATCTCCACAATGACAGACTTTGGTGAATGATGTTCTGCATCCAAACTACACTAATCAAAATCCTAGAAAGCGGCACTCCAAAACCTTTTGCACAGGAAATCTGGCTATTTCAATGAACTGATTATATTCTTTTTCCATTTTGTTTTTAAACAAAAAGGCAAATGAACACAAACAAGCAACTCAAGAAAAGCTAATATGCACAAAATGCATTTTCTAAATGAAAATAAATTTCTTAACTGAATAATACTGTACCAATATTTAATTTTTTGGACTTGAGCCTGTGATTCAGTTGAACTGGCCTTGAAGCATGCCATGGTTTGCTCTCCTGACTTTTGTATCTCTGCTTGAATGGAAAGGCTCACATATTACTAATATATTTTTCAAGCAAAAATAATCCTGGATTTCCTTAAAAGTAACAACTGGTAAAGCGATACAACATATTAAATTAGAAACCTAGCAATATATATCACAATCATCATTAGTTACAACTTGAGTACACAAACAAGAAAATGTAATTTATGAAGAAGAGCTTGATCAATGTTTTATATAATTGCTCACATTCTTCATAATTCAAAATACCCCAATTGTCAGTACTTTTCTGTTTTACAAATCTTAATGCTGGATTCCTGTCATTCTATTAGGCTACAGAACATAATTTCTGAGCTTGTGAGCATGTTTGTTAGCTTGCAAAAGTGACATTTAAAAATATTTATAGTCACCACTATGTCCTAGACTTTAGAAGTATTTTAAAAGCTTAGTTCTACTATAACTATTAATATACAAGGTTCAGTGTAAATATTTCATCACTACCAAGGGAAATTGCAACTGTGTTCCAAATATTTCTAGATCCAAAATGTGAATGGTTGAATGAAATCACTGGAGTAATGGTAAGCTACACAAGCTGAGGAACTGGCTTCTAAACAGAAGCTGTAATGATTATGTGCTTTTTAGATACTTCCCTTCTCTGATTGAGATAAGTAATTTGCACACATAGTCAATATTTTAATAGCAGGATCAGTAACTCTGGCACAAATGTTAAATTTAGCATTGGGCAGATTTTGAATGGCCGTGAGTTAGCAGCTGTGACCTCTTGAGAGAGACATCTGCAGGAACATTTGTAAGAGATAGTGCCTCCTATCTTCCTGCACTCCTGATTTCGTATATAAGCTGCTTGGCAGCACACTCCATCTTTGAGAGACAGCATTTCCCAGATCATACTAGTAGCAAAAATCAGCAAAATTAGAGGCTAGTAGCCTCTGCTTCAAGCAGAGGCAAGATGCCACCAATCAGCTGATCAGCACTGTCTTGTTTACTTAGAACTGCACCATCTCTTGGCTGTCCATGAGATTTCCCTTGGCCTGCTTTATCTCTAATCTAGGAAATAAAGGTACAATCTGCTCACCACTCCTACCAGATTGCCAGCCTCTGTTTTTATTGATAAAGGGACTTGGTGCATTTGGTACTGTCTAAATACCATCATTATCTCTCTAGCTGTCCTAAATAAAGCTAAATGTACCAATCATAATGATTGCAATGTAAAGTGAGATTCAAAAACTCTATGGCAATGAAGCAAATCAATATATTTATTTATTTATTTATTTATTTCCAAGGAAACGGGACACCATTAGCTGTATTTAGGCAAAAGGGAAAAAATAGAGAATTAAAACATTAAAGAATTAAGCTTTTAATAACTAATTACTGATTCATTATTCTGGACATGCTCAGTTTGCAGGGCACACGTCTCTTCTGGACTTTATGGATATCTAAAGACATGATCATTCTCTGCCTGGTTTGAGCGAACTTAATCAAACAATTTAGCAGCTTTATCTGCATAAAACAGTTCAGATGTATGAAGAAACAGGGAAAATTGGTGTTAAAGTGTATAAAAACAGGAACTCTTGATTCACAAACTGTATACTGTAGCTGTCAATTTTTCACACTATGTGTAAATGTTTAGAATTAATAGCAACCTTCTTTGGGGATACTGTTATCTTATTACGGCATTGAGCAAACCTTAGGAGATATTGAAGTTCTTATCTCCTTCGCTGCATTGCTTCAATAGATAATTCTACCATTTCTTACTGCAGATAGGAAGATTAAGAAATGGAAGATTTAAGATTAGTTTGTTTACTGAGAATGGCATCATACATTGTCTTACACAATGTGTTCTGCTCAGTGCATGAACGTGGCAGAGATAAGTGTTTACATTTCTCATCTTCAAATAGCCTTTTTGTACTGAGTACCACTACTAATGTAAGCCACAGCTGATCTTTTAAAGAAAACTATTATCACTAACTTTACTCAGAAAGGACTGATTAACTGGAGTTCAAGAGTAAATGAACAATGAAAATAATATTGGTCAAGTAAACATATTACATGTTATAAACAAGTATTCAGAAATTCTGCTACTCACTTCCATAGTGTCTTTTGAAAGGTAAACAACCCAGTATACCAGGTTGAATCCTGCAAATGCCACTGGAAAGAGGATCCTGGAATACTGGTCTATTTTACTTGTGCCTCCAATAGGTGGTGGTGGTGGGACTGGTGGAGGAACAGATGCTGGTTGATACTGGGATGCACTATTTGATATTATGCTGGCTTCAGGAGACTGATCTGCCTGAGATGTTACGGAGTTTACTCGCTTCTTCAAGTTACAGTTGGAGTCGGAATGCTGTGGAAGAAAAAAGAAAAGGGGAAGGGGAGTAAAAGGCAATTTTTGGATACAGAGTCTTAGGTTTTGTGATCACTAGGTTTCTCTCCACCTTTTTACTCAACCTTCTGATTTTATTGCTGCTGCTTTGCTATACAGCAACCTAAGGAAACCATAGAAATAATGTAAAGATATAGAGATACATCTGTGGCCTAAAGTTTGCTGTAAAAATATTAAAAAAATTTGCTTCCATATTTGACAGGGTAATAAATGGAAACGAGAGAAAGAAAAAGAAAAGAGGGAGCCAAAAGGAAAAGCAGGTAATGGTCTATCTAAATTGCATATTGGTATGACTGAAGTTTATGTAGATATGAATCAAGTTTAAACGAAGCAGCACATATGGGCTGGCTTAAACTCAGTCTTCACTGTGTGAGCCTATCAGTAAACACCCACTGAAAGGAGTCAAGTTGTTGCACTGTTGTTAGTCCCCAAACTATCTGCTGATGAGCTAGAAAACTGCTGCATAAAAGGAAAGGGGCAAAGTTTGCAGGTGCTTTAAGATGTGAATGCTAAATTCTATTATTTTTTCTGTAGTGTGAAATTGCATTTTCAAATGTGCAATGACTTTTCTGTATATCTCTTACATATTGCTCTTTTTCTTCCTCTACAACCTAGCAACACTTCCAACCTGTCATATCCCTCCTTCTCCCACTTTGCCATCTACATATTAAATGATTAATACCATGTTTTGGATAGATACTAAGTGGCATTCATATTCTGGGGCTGTGCCTATCTGGAACACAGATGTTTGTTTTTGTCTTTTCCAGTAACACAGCAAACAACAGACAGATTTAAATGGAGGATGATCTACAGATGTGTCATAGAAACAGAAAGAGGGTTATTCATGTCCACTTGCGCTAATCATCATAATAATCCCACTCTATAAACAGACTGACGAACCAAGCCTGGGCTACTGCTTTCATTCCAGTTGCTATTCTGTCTTGTTCCTATGCTCTGCTTTGAACTGAATTGTAGAAGTTGTAAAGCAGCTGCTTCTCACTTTACTGCAAGATAGCTTGACCTTTTGTGGAGAATGAGTGGTTCCTAAATATATAAGTGTTAAGGTGAATCTTAGCCCTTCTTATCTGCAATATTCTGGTATAAGGTGGGTCAAATTCTGCTCTGGATCACTCAAGCATGAATCAGGAGTTATTGTACTGAGGTGATAGAGTTAACAGTAGGCAGAACAGATGTAGCATATGGTCTGTGGATGATGTTCAGTACTGACTGCATTTAGAATGTAGAAGTAGTAAATACTTTGTGATCATCTGAATAGGCACTTGGAAAAAGTGTAATCCTGGTCATTATTTTATTTATAGTATTTAGTAAGTCACATTCCTGTAGAAGGAGGTTTTGTTATAGAAGGAGGATTATCTCAATGTGATTTCATCTCAACTTGGAGATAGGAACATTTGGAGTCAGTGTATCCTCAGAACTTGGGGAGTGCACTAACTTGATTATACTCCCACTTTGGGGCCAGTTAAGGTCCATTCTAGCAGCTGGGTGATAATGATAACTTCTCATTACCTAAAACAGCCTATTCCAGTGTTCAGGAAGGACTAGTGCATTTCACTGTCTCAGTAAAACGGCCTTTTGTCGTGCTCTTCACCTGCTGAGGAGATGGTTTGGTTGATATAAATTGTTAAGAAGGTTCCTGAGTAGTTCTTTACACTGCCTTTAACACCCTCATAAGCCCATCCAGCAAGTCAGCATCAAGACTATTTTCCTGTCTACCACTACCCAGGATATGGAATTTTAAGTCCAAATTTATCTTAGATGTGTAAAGATATTCTCAGCATGGTAGCTGACTGTAGACCAGACTTGCTGCCCCAGAGCTACAACTCGTAAGTTTTCCCTGGAATTCACTGCTAAACCAAGAGGAGGAGGCAGTGAAAGGAAGCTATGTAGTTTATTATTACAATTGAGCTCTGAACAGCAGCTACAGTAATTTGTCTACTATATTTAGATTTAACTTTTCCTTTTGACAAAGATTACCCACAATGACATCATGAAACTTTAGCAAAACACAGAGAGAAACCAGGAATGAATAGCCCATGTTACATAGTTTACACAGCCAACCACTCAGATAGTAGGGACAGTTTTACAAGTAGAAAGAGCAACATGGCACACTGTCATAATGAAATAATTATTTTTGTTAAGTTACTAAATCCTGATTCACAGGAGTACTCTTGTACTTGTGTGGAATGTTAGTCCAATCAGGCAATTGAACTTGTCACTGCATATGACTACCCAGTGACACAGAACAGATTGCAAGATCACTGTTTAATGTGAGATACCATAAAACTGGACTAGGCAAAGACTGGTATGTATATGGACTAAGTGAAATGTAGTCTGACCTCTATTAATCTTTTGCAGCTTAGCTAACTGATCCCCTGGAAAGCTCATAAAGCAGTATCATCTTGTCTGTAAAGGTGCTGCTCACTCACAACTCTCATCAATATCACTAGAATTTGCTCTGAATATCTCAGGAGGCTTTCAGCAAATTGCTTGGCTTCCAGATTTAAAAGAATACAGCATATATATAACCTTGGAGTAAACAGTATTCTTTGTCTGCTTTTTCTGATTTTTATATGGATGCTAATGGTGATTTATGAATGTGCTTTGTTCCTACGTTTCTTTTCCTCAAGAGATTTCTGTAATTCATATTTGTAAAATTTTCTATTGTTCTCTGTTCCTTTGTACTACAAATACCTTGCAGTAACGTGAGTATCTTATATATGCACTCAGACACTGACTAACTTTAAACAAATGAGTACCTGTTGTCCTCTTACTCACTTATGTCTCTCTTTCCTGTGGGCAATGTAGTAAAAAAAGGTTCATGAGAATAAACTCTAAAAGTTTAGAGAAAAAAAACTGTTATTCCTCCTTTTCTTTATTGGATATTGAAATCTGCTGATAACACAAAACACACCAAAAAACCCTAGGACCAAAACTGAGTGTCTGTACATGGCAGAATAGTAAATGAAATATATAACATTCTTTTTCCCTGTCCGTGTCATTAGTAGTTAGAATTTCAGCCATTCATATCGTACACATAAAACTGCATGCTAATGGCTTAGCTCCCAAAGAGGGAGTTAAGCATAGTTTAGCCCCTAGATTCAATAGTGCAATCTGTAAAAACTGTTTAGCTACTGAACACTGAGCAATCCGTATGCAGCACCATGCAGCAGGAAAGTTCATCATGTTAGGTAAGATCTCCTTTTGGGCATGCATCAATTTTTACAGTCTTGTGCAGTTTAAGTATCTATTTCATGCCAGAGATTCATTATGACCTATAATTTAGACATTTCTTTGCAAATCTTATCTGTGGGATCTGATTCAAAACCAGTGTATTGGAAACGTCTATAAACAGTGTTCTGCATAATTAAAAGCTCAATATAGTTTAGAAATCATAAATAGTCATAGCTTTAGGCATCTGTCCTGGTTTCAGCTGGGATAGAGTTAAATATCTTTCTAGTATCTGGTACAGTGCTGTGTTTTGGATTTTTGAGCTAGAGAATGTTGATAACACCCTGATGTTTTAGTTGTTGCTAAGCAGTGCTTACTCTAAAACAAGGACTTTTCAGTTTCCCATGGTTTGACAGTGATCAGCTGCATAAGAAGCCAGGAGGCAGCACAGCCAGAATGCCTGACCTGAACTAGCCAAAGGGATATTCCATACCACAGAAGGTCATGTTTGGTGTAGAAACTGTGGGGAGTTGGCCAGGAGTCACTGATCACTGCTCAGGGATGGGATAAGCATCGGTCAGTAGGTAGTGAGCAATTCTATTGTGCTCATTTGTGTTTCCTGAATTTTATTCCTCCTTCTCTCTTTTTCTTCTTATTATTTCTTATAATTGTTTACTTCATTGCAATTCTTAAACTGTTCTTATCTCAACCTGCAGGTTTTACCTTCTTCAGATTCTCCTCCCCATCCCACCCTCGGGGGGTGGGGAAGAGTGAGCAAGCAGCTGCATGGTATTTAGTTGCTGGCTGGGGTTAAACTACAACAGCATCTTTTAGGAATCCTGTGTCCTTTCCTAGAAATATTAAGAGGAATAACATGGAAATTTATTTTCTTTGTGCTTTACCCTAGTAAAAGGGTTAAATCAGTTAGGTTAAATTACTCACTTAAACACAGGAAAGCCATGTAAAAATTCTTTCTTAACCTTAAGGGATTGAAATTCACCTCTCAAAATATAGCCTAACATTCAGGTGAAGGTGATTAGTGGGAGAGGTTGTTACCTTATTACTTCAGAGCTGTTTTACTTTGCATGGAAAATCTGAAGAGGCATTAAAAGCTGAAAGCATAGCTTTGAAAAATGTACTATGCACCTGTTGTATAAAAATCACTGTCATGTAAAACAGGTAAGCACTAAGGAGAGCAGAGACTGGAATCCTAGTAATTCTCTTTACAATGTGAATGTGTATTGTAGAATCTCTTCCTAATGTTTATATGTAGCATATCAGAAAAAATAATGGAATTAGCACAGAGCTTCTATGTGTTCGTGTTAAACAGATTTAAATGTTCAAAGTCATGTTTGGCTCTTAAATTTATCAGTGTCAGTCCAGAACTACCCCGTCTCTACATTTACTTTTCTAAATTTGTGTAGCATAGAGAAACTACTGCTTTGAATGTCTGAATGAGACAGAATTACACAAATAGCACTAGAGAGGTTGATTTCTTTTTTTTTTTTTTTGCCTCAAATTTAACTTAAGAAAATTTTGTTCTCAATTTCCCCCTGCAAAAAAGGTACTGGGATTAGACTTCCATGTTGAACAAAAAAAATGTCTAAATCCAATTCGTCTTGAATTTCTTTATTTTGGTGTGTGCTACCAGCTACTTCCAAGCCTTCCTTACTGCCCTGCATTGGCTTTGTCAATCAGACAAATATTGAACTTGGAACCAAATAATCAGCATCTACTTTCCTTGTTGAGATGACAAAAAGTCAATATAACTG